TGACCGTTAATTGTAGTTTGTGCCGCGTTGTCCTAAACGTCTGTGTCCGCCACTATCTACAAAGCTATATCTAAGTAATGTTCATAAATAAATATTTTAAATAAAATTAAACATTTATTATACATTTCCAATTTAACATCACGTAAATCTCATATTACCATATATCTATGAATTTGATAGGGGAAATTCTATTGGAAGACCTAACTTTTAGTATATGTATTAATGTAAAGCCTGAATTTTAAACTTTTTTAATAGAAAACTTATATTTTAAGTTATTCTCACTTCAAGTCTTACTTTTTAGTTAATTTTTCATTATAAAGCCCAACTAATTTTACTTTTTCATATAAATATATAAAATAACTATTATGTGAATAAAAGTATTATTATTATTAAAATTATTTTGTATTTTATATTTGACATACTTATAATAAAATATAATAAATATCTTTAGTAATATTATATTAATAAAAAATGAAACTATATAAATTACAATGATAAAACATTGGAACTATAATGATGCGAAACTAAGATAGTAAAATTATATTAATAAAGAATGAAATTATATAAATTACAATGATAAAACATTGGAATTATAATGATGCGAAACTAAGATAGTAAAATTACATTAATAAAAAATGAAACTATATAAACATCTATTATGATGCAAACTATATAAAACATCCATTAATAGACATCTATTTTCAGTGATGTAATGTTTCATGATTAAACTTTTTTACATAATTATAATTTATATAGTTTCGCATCATTGTAAATTATATATTCTTATTATTTAACAATATAATTTTACTAAAGATATTTATTATTAGTATGTAAGATATAAATTATAAAATAATAATTATAATAATAGTAATAATAATACTTTTAGTCACATAATAGTTGTTTTGCATATCTATATATATATATATAATTGCTAGCTAATCATTTAATAAAACCTAATAAATAAAACCTATTTAATTTTACCTAGCTGTCACTAACCTCTTTTCCCTCCATTTTCGGTTACTTTTTTATTAATTCTCCTACATTAATTAGGTTAATGATATAAATCCTACTTTTAATATTTCCAATTTCCAAAATCAAATGAGATATTATTTTTAAAATCTGATTTCAT